AGTTGTTGCTATTCTTTTTTTCGATCTCCTGTTGAGTTTGTAGGTGTTCAGAATGGTTTGATCCCTATCCAGCTGAATTCCTGAGACCAGATGAAATCCAGGTCTCCTGCTCCTCCACCATCTTGCTCTGCCCCTCTGAAGCGACTTCTATGAGGGAGAAGGCGCATTATTGATAGAGCTGAGCGCAGAAACATACCTGGGAGTGGTTTTGGAATACCATAGTGACCAATAATAATCCTAAAAATCCAAACCATTTACTGGAGTGTTACCTACATCATGTAGTTTTTTTTTTTTTTTTTAACAGATGATCTACATTTCTAATTTTTCTGTTTAGAGTAATAACAGCTATGTTAAGTGTTAAGGAGAAAGTATCTAAGAATTTAAAACTTATCACAGATCTAAACAGAAGACGCCATCCCAAATGGATAAGAATGAATGATGTTGTTCTCCTCACAGGCAATATACGAACGCCTTTTTGGTTGGATTGTTACTCGCATCAATGATATTATTGAGGTCAAGAACTATGACACCACAGTCCGTGGGAAAAACACTGTTATCGGTGTCTTGGATATCTATGGCTTTGAAATCTTTGACAACAACAGGTAAACTGGAATAAGATGCTCAAAACTCTATAGTGTTTATTTTTTCGTCTCTCTGAACCTACCTGATTCCTTTTCTCACAGCTTTGAACAGTTCTGCATCAACTACTGCAACGAGAAACTGCAGCAGCTCTTCATTCAGCTGGTTCTGAAGCAAGAACAGGAGGAGTACCAGCGGGAGGGCATCCCCTGGGAGCACGTGAGTGCGCGCCTCTGGAAAGTAGCTTCCCGTGTTGCACGTAGCGTCAACACTGTCAGATCTTTTCACGTTAGCTGTTCTGTTGCAGTTTTCTCGGGCCCACAAAACATCCGAACATTGTCTTTCCTTTTGGGGATATGTAATTACAAGTCATCTTCAGGGTTGATGGGTGGAATGTCTCTCATTTGACGGACTGCCTTGTTGGTGCCCAGAAATGCTGAGTTACAGCCCTCACACTTGATTGCTGATGCCACCTGGGTTGTCTGGCTCGTATCTGTCTAGTAGAGTTTAGCGCCAGGCGGAGGTTACTCAGAGCAGCAACTTTTGCCTTAAGTCAATTGGGCTTTGCTTCCAAATTTAGTTTATTCTCTTGTCGTCCTCTTTCTCCTCTTATTTCTCCTTTTTTTTTTTTTCCTCCTCTACTTTGCAGTCTAAGTGGCACTGTTACTATCTTCGGTTATTATGGTTTACATTCTCCAAAACTCAGGCGTGAAAACATTCACGTTTACTTCCGTCTGCTATCCTTCGTGTCATACCTGTTATCACCTTCTCATGGCCCTTTATGAACACTGACAGTTGTCAAAGGTCTGAAGAGGGCGGGCTAGAAAGTGGGACTGCCCTGGGGCGCAAGCCCCAGACACCACCGCTGAAAAGCATGACTTGGTTGGCTCTCTTGTTCCTTACCATTTGACCTCCTGCTTGTGACGGGTTGAGACCTAGTAATGTTTTCTTTTAAATTTGTATTTTTAAACAATTTTGAGGACAGACTTGAGAAATGCAAAAGCTTCTGAGTTTCCACACATTTCTGTGTTTATAAAACTGTGTTTATCTTCCTGGCAAATAGAACACACAATAAAGTCAGTATTAAAGCTTCTTTGATATACTGTATGTAAATTACTTTTATATTTCTTCCCACCTTCCTACTTTGTCTCTCCTCTCATTCAGAAAGGGAGACAGTGGTATAATTAGTAGCTGTCCTGCCTCAAATTGCATCTTTGCCTTCCAGCATGTGTTAAACCTCACAATACCATAAAAAATTTTTTCAAGTATATTAGTGTAAATTTTACTGTTTTACAAATGAACCAAAAGTTGTATTATTACTTTATAGTAGAATTACCTATCATTCTGATTTAAACAGTGAACTCTCATAGCACATTTAAGATGTAATTCAATTAACTTTAGAGGCAGCCTTCTTAGAATGGATCTGTTATACAATTTAATACACAATTACAACTGAAGCTTAGATTTTTTTATAGCAAATTTAATCATAAAACTTGTTATTCAGAGATGATTCAGAGATACTGGTCAAAAATGTCCTTTAAAAATCAGGATATCAAATTCCACAGGCATAGTTGATAAGGAGGAAAGTCAACAACTGCAGTAGGCTATCCCAAACATCTGAAAAAGGAGCAACCACCCTAAAAATGCAAAAATCTTTAGCAAAATAAACCAAGAAATACATGTCCTAGAGGGGACAAAAGGCTAGGTCGCAGGTAATTGTTACTATACCGACTACATGCCAGGTCCTTCCAAATTAGAATCTCTATTCTGGGCAATTATTTCCTTTAAAAAACTCAACTTCTGAACATAGTGATTGATTTTTAAAAATGTTTTTTATTATGGAAAATTTCAAGCAAACATAAGAGCAGAGATTGTGATATAAACTCCGTGTACCTGTCACCAGCTCTGACAGTTATCAGTGGATTGCCAGTCTCGTGTCATCTGGACCCACTGACCCACCCACCCACCTGACCCCCCAGATTATTTTGAAGCAAATCTCAGACATCATATTGTTTCACCTATAAATAGCCCCGTGTACTTCTCTAAAAGATAAAGACTTTTACAAATACCATGACCACAGTACCATTATTACACCTAAGAAATGTAACAGTAATTCCTTAATATCATCAAATATCCAGTCGTGTTCACATTTCCTCAGTCGTCTTACAGGGTTTTTTTTGTCTGTTTTTATAGTTGTTTGAATTTGGATCCAAGCAAGGTTCTTACATTGTGGCTGGTTGATAGGACGCTCACGTATCTATCGATTTTCTCCTCCATCTCTTTTTTTTCCTCACAACCTCCCGATGAAGAGGATGAGTCATTTGTTCTGTTGAGCTTGCCACAGTCTGGATTTTGCTCATCGGATTCCCGAGGTGTCATCCAGACTGTCTCTGTTCCGTGTATGCCCCTGGTTGTTAGATCTGGAGTCTTGGCTCGTTTCAGGATCAGTGTTTTTCTCCCAGTCTGTTTCATAGGTGGTATGTGGACTTCTGTCAGGAGGTTCCTAAGGCTTAGTTGTCTCCCTAATTAACTCACCTTTATAGGCTTTTGGTGCAGTAGTTTACAAGTCATTTTTTAGCTTTTGAGAACTGGACTGTTGGGCACACAGCTGCTCCATCTGGGATGGGAATGGGAGGCCCAGACCTCTCTGCCCCTGAGCTATCTCATCACATCTCCTCCTGCCCCCTGTAGTCTCTTAAGAAGCCTCCTGGGAATCGAGATTGCTGGAGAAAGCTGGTTTGGAAGCCGCGACTTGAAGCAATGTTTGAAGTAACCTTAAACTTATAAACTGAACTCTTTAGCCAAGACTCATTAGTTGTACAACTGGTTCCTTAGAGGACTTAATTCTTTTGTCCCTGGGACAAAAGAATTAATCTTTAATTCCATACTCCCAAAGTCTAAAACTTCAGCTAATATTTAATATAAGAATAACTGCTTTTTGAGAAGAGTAAGGATATTTTTTCGAAAGATGGAGAGAACTTTTCTCCCTAATTAGGAAATGTAATACGTGTCCACCCCAAATGTACTATTTAGACCAGGGTTTCTCCACCTCGGTACTACTGATGTTTTGGACCAGATAAGTCTTTGTTGTGGGGCTGTCCTGTGCATTTTACGATGTTGTAGTGGCCTCTTCCCACTGGGTCACGTAGTCATGACCTTCAAAAATGTGTTCAGACAATGCCAAATGACCCTGGCGGCGGGGGCTGTCATCCTCTTGAGACTCACTGATATAAACAGACCAGTAAAGTATAAAAAAGGAAGCAGAAGCCACCTTGTCTGTAGACCGTCAGTCCATGGATACGGTAGAGAACTTGGAAGAGGAGGGGAGGAGCTGAAACCCATAGACAGATAACTGGCATGAGTCCTTGGACTTTAAATAGAGCAGAACCCATGAGAGACTGAAATAGTCCATTATGAGCATATAGATCTTACAGTAGATGATGGAGACAACACTCAAGTTTAGGTACCTCCTAAATGAGGGGGACACATCAACACACAGAACTAAACTGTGTGATAATAGACTGCCCACCTTCAAGCGGTACACAGCTAGCCTGCGTAAGGCCAGTGTGCATGCTGGGATGGATGCCGCGCACTATCCGAATCAACAGGTATAGACGAGGAATTTAGGATAAACTTTGCGTATATTGAAGTTGCTAAAAAACCAGCTGTTATTTAGAACTTTATTCAGCTCACAAAAGTAAACAAAAAGTTTATCCTTATCTTTTACAGATACTTTCATCTCAGAATTAAATTTTTTATATTTTCCCCAGAGAAACATCAAAAGTCTGTTAGACGTCTACGTGATTTTTTTCACTTGGGGAAAGCTGGAGAACACTCTCTTTTGGGTTTTAGTCCTCCAAGGCCATAGAACTAGAAATTTTTGAGTTCTGTGTGATACCTTAACCTCATCAAGTTATGAATTGAATAATACTTTAATGTTATTTGTTGGTACTTCATGGAGTGTGGGTCTTGTGATTAAATGGCAAACAGATTGGGGGATTGAGAGTATGAAGCAGTGGGGTTAGATGCGGGATTAAAACAAAAGTTAGTGATGGGAGAAATGCTGCCTCCTTTACAATTTTTGCCTTGAGCTGCACCCACGTAACACAAAGTGTTTCATGATATAAAGTCAACAAAGAAACTAAAAAATAAAGCTCTGTTAGAACATGTGCCCTTTTAGCATTAGGCCTCATTAATGCTCTTGACATACTTCCGCCTCAAGATAACTTTCCTTGAGCTCCTGAAACACATGCAGGCATCAGTGTCTTGCCTGTGCTGGCATCTGTTCCCTCTGGAACCGCCTCCCTCCTGTGTCCTGCAGATCGATTACTTCAACAATCAGATCATCGTGGACCTTGTGGAGCAGCAGCACAAGGGGATCATTGCAATCCTGGACGATGCCTGCATGAACGTTGGCAAAGTCACTGACGAAATGTTCCTCGAAGCACTTAACAGTAAACTGGGCAAACATGGCCATTTTTCCAGCCGAAAGGTAATGTGTTTTATGAGAACTTCCTCTCCTTTCGATCTGTAAGATTTTCCCCATTGTTTGACAGAATTAAATGGTCTTTTTTTTTTTTAAAGATTTTTATTTTTATTTATTTGAGACAGAGAGAATGAGAGACAGAGAGTATGAGAGGGAGGAGGGTCAGAGGGAGAAGCAGACTCCCTGCCGAGCAGGGAGCCCGATGCGGGACTCGATCCCGGGACTCCAGGATCATGACCTGAGCCGAAGGCAGTCGCTTAACCAACTGAGCCACCCAGGCGCCCCAGAATTAAATGGTCTTAAATGTTGGGTTAAAAGAATGTCCACTCAACTAAGCAAGAAAGGCCATAAGCATCCATTAAGAGACTTACTGCTAGAAATAAATTCTGCCTCTCTGGTTTATGAGATGACAAGATGGATAAAAATCATAATATCCAGGAGAGGGAGCTCCAGACTATTCAATTTGTTAGAAATAGGAAAAATGAACATGATTTTAGAAAGCATGATGTCATTTATAACCAATAGGTACAGAGGCCTTGTTCATGTGCTAGAATTTTGCTCCTGCATCTGATAATTCTGGCACTGAAAACAGCTTTTGTCCTTGACTTTTTACTATAATTGGTTATAAAATGTAGTATGTGTCCTCTGCCACAGTTCTTCAGACTATGTGAATTTTTTTTTTTTTTAAGGATTTTATTTATTTATTTGACAGAGAGATAGCGAGAGCAGGAACACAAGCAGGGGGAGTAGGAGAGGGAGAAGCAGGCTTCCCGCGGAACAGGGAGCCCAGTGCAGGGCTCGATCCCAGGACCCTGGTATCATGACCTGAGCCGAAGGCAGATGCTTAACGACTGAGCCACCCTGGCGCCCGAGACTTTGTGACTTTCTTGAGAATAGAGAAGTTCTAGCTGTAATTCTCCCCATCACAAGGAAACTCATTCCCCTAAACGAATGGGTATCCTTTTAACTCCCCATTTGTCACATTCTAAAAATGTTATTAAACAGATCACATTTCTGTAATAAGTGGTGGCAGTTGTGGTTGTCAAACCTTTGTGCTGTGCTTTGCATAGAGTATGTTTGTCATTAGTATTTGCCCTAGGAGGGGCACACCATCATCCTTGGGTGTTCCCTACAATACCAGCTTGTCCAGCAACCATAAGCTGAAGGAGAAACAGGCCCCATGCTCTGTTACTTCCATAAAGAAAGGAGCAAACATTTCTGCTCCTCCATATTTTCATGTAAATCTATGACACACTGCCAATTTTTTTTAGCACGAATAAGTCTATTTTCTAACTTTGTCCCCTTTGAAATTACGTAATCAGAACAGATAGATAAAGCACAAATCATCAAGAAATAGACTACTGGCTGATATTTATTTTAGGCCAGTTTATTTCTAAGAGATGCTCCTTGGTCTGTTACTGAGGATTGACTTGGATCCCTACTACAAGTCACTCAGCTGTCAGATACTATGGTCTGACCTTTGACATTAGGGTTCTGGTCAGAGGTATTCTTCAGTCGTTTCCCATGTATAACACAAGTGCTTAATAAGTGCCTCTCATTTCCCAGGCATAATTCTGGGTGCTGGGGACAGAGCAGTGAGCCAAGTTAGAAGCATCCTACCCCATTTAGAGTGATCTGTTGTAAGATGGTATTATTACATGGGCAGATGTCCCATCTTCTGGGGATGGGTTATCTATGTCCTTTATAATCCTAACCTAGGTTTTGGAGACTCACCTAACATCTTGCCTACCAGATGGTAGATAATCAGTGTTTGTAAAATTGAATTGAATTTGGTCACGATCATACCAAATACATCTTATGGAATATTGAATTTTAAACTAAAACACGCAGGGCCCCACTTCATTTAAATAAATAACTGTGAATCTCATGATAAATCACCTCATTTTGATTCACCTTGGCCATTTATACACCTGACTTAAATTTGTCCACCAAATATTTTGAAATAGAGTTTCATTCTTGAGGTAGCCACTGTACATAGTACTTTTAAGCAGTTGCCACTGATTTGATAAGAAATTGCAAAATAATGATTTATCTGAGAAGACAGGAATTCTCTTTTTTTTAGATTTTATTTCTTTATTTGAGAGAGAGAGAATGAGTGAGTGGGCAGGGGGTGGAACAGAAGGAGAGGGACAAGCAGACTCCCTGTTGAGCATAGAGAGCAGCGCTGGGCTCAGTCTCAAATCAAGAATTGGACACCCAACCGACTGAGCTACCCAGGCGCCCCAGGAATTTTCTTTCTTTCTTTCTTTTTTTCTTTAAATGTGGAAACCCAGGTTTCTCTGACTCTCCAGCTAGGTGGCTCTTTTTTCCAGCATCACTACCTGCCCACCCCTTGTCTGACAAGGTGGTGGGGGGGTGATGCTGGAAGAAGTCCCCCCTGAGATGGGGACTTTTAAAGTGTGTTCATTTCTGGGATTATTGCCCTGACGAAGGAAAGAAATGAAATAACCAAGCTGTCAGGATATTTTCATCACTATGAATCTTTTTGTTAAATAATGCTGTTATCCTGTATATTACGCCAGGTGTTATCATTTGCTGTTGGTTGCAGATTAGCTCGAGTTACTGGCATGTTAAATAAGAGGTTTCTGCCTTGTATTTATTTAGGGGCTAAATGGTTTCTTATACATTAAAGTTATCATGGAGAGATAGGCAAATGATCCAGTAAACCACGAAATTACTATTTAAAGTATTGTGAACATATAAAGTTAAATGATATACAAAAGTTATTATTTTTAAAATGTAAAGAAAAATCTAAAACCTTCTGTGTTCAGATCACTTGAGACTTTGCAGTATCCAAATGTAAGAATATTCAATTAGCGTGGGCATCTCCTGGGTCCTTTTCCACGAGGAGTTTTATAAATGAAAGGGTTTTGTAAAATGGTTAACAAGAGAGAGAGAAGGAAAGACGGATTCCATTTTTTGGAGATCTCTGTGTATGTTATATACTTTGATCTCTGTGGTTCATTTAAGCTTCAGAACAACTGTCTAGGATAAATAACTATTTAAGGACACAGAGCAAGTAGATGGTAGAGCCAAGATTTGAACCTTGGAAGTCTGACTCTAATTTACTGTAATTGTTCACTTTTCTGATTAATAAACTAACTATTCCTTTACTAGTCCAGTTATCATGCAGAAGCCACCATCCTGGTTGGGGTTGTTTGTTAGCTAACAGTGCAACTTAAGTTTTTGTGCGTAACTGCACTCAGTGCTTTATGGATTCTTAGATGTCTGCTTTAGAACCTGTAGGATACTGCGTGATCCTTCACAGGGCAGACAAAGGAGTCTGGGCACTACTGTAACAAGGAAAATTGCAGGAAACTGTGGAGACCACCACCATTTCCATAAACTATTCCTCTTCAGTGAGAAATAGCTGCAGGAAGTTGACCTTCTTTGAAATGATAGCCCTGAACTTGACTCCCAGCTCAGCAAAAGACAAGTAAGCCAGGCCATTGTGTACATAGGAGAGCAGACATTACATCTGGTCCCAAGAATCCTTCCCAGAACGACCACCTACGAGCTATGGACTTGGGCCAATTACCTGATCTCTCTGACCCTTAGATTCCTTGTATGTAAAAGAGAGCTCCTAATACTTACTTTATATCTCAGTTGTGAGGACTGCATGAGATGTACATGCCCAGCAGACAGCAAGCCCTCGGTGTGGTGCTCCGTAAGTGGAGCTTGGAGCAGAAAGAGACTGTATCAGTCAGGGTAGGCTGGGCCACTTAGGGCAGCAGCCAGACTTTCAGCGTCAGAGACAACAGAAGTCTGTTCCTGTCCCAGGGACCCGGACTTCTTCCGTCTTCCGGCTCGTCCATCCCCTTGCTGCTGTCCTTCTCTGCATCCAGCTAGTGGGAGGAGAGGGTCACCCACTTCTTACCAGCTTTGGCCGGACACAGACACACTTCCTTTCCCCTCACCGTCAGCTGTCGAGCACCTGGTCACTTGGCCATATCCAGCTGCCAGGGTGGCTGGGAAATGAAGTCCAGCTGTGTGGACTTCCGGTGAAAGCTCGCAGGCTTTACCACATAAGCCCCACACAGGGCCATTTCATTCATAATGGTATCAAGATTTGTGACGCTGTCATCATCTTACGTGACATTGGAGTATATTTTTAGGAAAGTGAAAATAATCTGTTTTCAAAATCATCTCCTTATTGATTTCTTAGATCTGCGCCTCAGACAAAATCCTGGAGTTTGATCGAGATTTTCGAATTCGACATTACGCAGGTGATGTAGTGTGAGTATCTTACTTTGGTACCTAACACGATGACTTGCATGCAGCTTCACTTCAGAAAATAGAACCAGGGGAAATAAAAACTGTTTTCCTATTCATTTGTGTTTTTTAGTCATTTCATAGGGTAATATAGTTTCATCTCCTCACTTAAAAAAAATATTGGCTTAGCTTCATTCATTTCTTGCTTTTCAAACTTTTCTTGAACACACACGGCAGCAGCCATGCACACAGCCCCTGGCATAGTTGGCATTCAGTCAGATCAGCTGATGGGTAAATAAATCATGGGAGAATGTTAACGAGGAGAGAAAGATGGATAAGATGGGCCTTTTTCTGAAGAAGCTAACAGTTCAGTGGTAGACACAAGCAGATACATGAAAAGTCACTATAACGAAGAATGGTAGGGGTCAAACTAGAGATGCATGAGGCCTTATGGAAACACTGAGGAGGGATAATCATGCCAGGGTGAGGAGTATAGAGAGGTTTTGGTGGGAAGTGACATCTAAGCTGAGTCATCAAAGTAAAAGAGGCTTAGTCAGGGGAAAGAATTGCGAAGGGAGGGCATTCCAAGCAGAAGAACTGGGCCCAGAGCCAAGAGCCAAGAGCCACCATCGCTTGTGAAGAACTACAAGCAGTTGGGTAACTACATAAGCAGAAACTAGTTTTGCCATATTATTTTCCGAATGTCAGTTGAAAAGGTAAAATTCTCACAAGCCACATTTTCTAGTCCCAATATAAGAAAAGTAGAAATTGATAAGATAATATAACTACTTTAGTATCTGAGTCCCCTAGGGCTGCTATAACAAATTGGTGGCTTAACATGAGCAAAATGTTTGCCTTCCCAGTTCTGGAGGCCAAAAGTCCAAACTTTAGGTGGCTCAGGGCCACACGCTGGAGCAGGACTGTTCCTCTCCTCTGTCAGCTTCTGGTGGCTGCAGGCATTGCTTGGCTTGTGGCTACATCTCTCCTATCTCTGCCTATGTGGTCACACTGTTGCCTCCTTCTTGGTGTGTCTGTGTTAAAACTCCCTCTGCCTCGATCTTTTTTTTTTTTTTAAAGTAGGCTCCACACCCAGCATGGAGCCCAGCGCAGGCCTTGAACTCACAACCCTGAGATCAAGACCTGAGCTGAGATCAAGAGTCGGACCAACTGAGCCAGCAGGCAGCCCTGCCTCTGTCTTTAAACTACAATTGTGGTGGCATTTAGGGCCCACCTGGGTAATACAGGATCAGCTTCTCCTCTCAAGATCCTTAACGTAATCACACCTTTTGTCATAAGATCACACTCACTGGGGCTGGGGAATTTGACATGGATGTCTTTCGGGTCGGGGAAGCGCATTTTTCAGCCTGCTACACTTAGGATGCTTTGTCCACTGAACACTGCTTCTTACCTGATTATTCTTTAGTTTCCTCTTTTCCTTCCTCCTCATTTTTTACATTAGGAGCTCTCTTCATCATAACCCGTTACAGGAAGAGATTACATAACAACAACAACAACAAAAAGGCAAATGATCATCTCTACAAATGCTGAAAAGACATTTGGAGAAATTTTAATAGCTGCTCCTGATTTAAATTAAAACTCTGAGTCATAGGATAATATGGCTCGAGATGATCACCCCATCTGTCAAACTAGCCATTAGTGCTGGAATGGCACCATTCTCCACTTGTTCTGGTCCCATTCCCAGGTTCCAGAACACTGAAGAGGGGAGATGCAGCAGTGTGCACACTCTCCTGCTGAAAAGGCCGCCTCATTTACAGGATGCTTCCATTCAGTTCGGAAACATCGAAGCAGAGCTGGTCAGAGGCCTTGGAGACCCGCTAGCCTGGCCCCTTTGTTTTATAGATGGAGAGAACTTAAGGAGAGTGTGTAATAACACTTTCACCCAAGGCCACACAGCAAGTTTATGGAGTAGCTGAGCCAATAACTGGTTTCCAGCCTCCTAGTCCAGAATGCTGACTTAACCCTTCTGAGGGATATTCAGTGCCTCAGACTTCCCCTTCTCTCCTTCAGCCCTTCAGTCCTTTTCTAGATTCTTACTGCATATATGCTGTGTGCACAATGTTTTACAAGGTGTGGTCTCCTCCCACAAAGAGCCTTCCATGTAAGATCACATACATACCTATATGGCTGTGTGTGTGTGTTTATTTCTACTCAGAAATGTGCATACACATAATATATACACACTTACATGCATACATCAGTACATTTAAAAGATGGTCTAAAATAATCGCCATACAACTAATAACAGTATTGCCAGAATTTAGAATAATTACATGATGTAATACTTCTGTGAGAAGCCCAGGAAGGCTGATGCTAGTCCTTAGATGCTAGGAATTATTTTTAAAGGGAGAAGTGGGAAGGGTGCTAGAAATATTCAGGAAATAGTAACTAGGTCCATTTAAGTGGAGTGTGTCCTTTTTGTAGCATTAGAGAAGTGGAAATGCCTGGAAAAGTAGATTGAGATCAAATCATAATGAGTCTGAGAGGCCAAAATAAGGACTTTGCAGTTTGAATGTTCTAGGTTAGACAAAAGATTAAGAGTCAGGTGGCTTCAAGGTTTCAGTCAAAAGTGACTTGAAGGTCTTAGGAAACAGATCTAGGATGTGGGAGGCAAGGAAGGAATTTGGGACCTGGTGACCTTGAAGCTCCTCTGGGCACCACAGCCTGAAGGAACCTTCTCAGAGAATTAAATATGTGAGGCTGGCACATCGGTGAGGGGTCAGGGTAAGACATCTGAGAATTATCTACATCGATGTGATTATTGTCAAGGAAGAAAATACAGTAGGCAAGAAAGTCGAGCTGTCGGGAGCAGGTGCATCGAGAGTTCCTGTTTGCACGGCCTCTGAGCCTCTGTCCTAGTCACCCTGACCCTCCATCACTTGTGTGCCCCCAGCAGTGCACTTGCTCCCCCTGGAGTCCATGGCCATGGCTGCAACAGAGCAGCTCCCATCCCTCTTTCATCCCAACTGCAAATGTAGCTTCTCCTGACCTCACTTCTCTCCCTCCTCCAGACCATGAATGCTGGCCTTGTTTTCTCTCACATACTCCATGCATGTGCCTGCTCCTCTCCCTTCATTTGATCTGTTTCCCTGTGTGATCTCTCTTCCTCTTTCTCCTCTGCTTATCCAAATCTTACCATCCTTTGCAGTTCTTCTTGGATTCTTTTATCCCACCCTGAACACACTGAGGGAACCTTAGGCAAGTCACTTGACCTCCTTACGGAAGAGACTGTTAGTTCCTGTATGTTGCAGTTTTGCTTTTATCTTAGGAGTGCTGGGTGATAAACACAGCTATCTTTTTAAGAGTCATCTTCTTGAGGTAAGCAGTAAACTGGTAGAAAATGACGGTCTTAATCATAGTGACGGTACTGATGTTTGTTCTCCTTTTGAGGAATAGGAACAACATTCCCCTCTATTTAGTAGGTAAATTTGATATTCTTTAACCAGAACAAAGTGGACAATATTAGCTCTACAGATGATTGATGGCATAATTATCAGTGGAAAGGCTTGTAGACTTGTCGAAAAACTTAAATGTGGCTCTTGCTTGGTGAATAATGCATGTTTTCTGTGGGTTTTTTTTTCTCTACTAGCTATTCAGTCATTGGATTTATTGACAAAAATAAAGACACTTTATTTCAAGATTTCAAGCGCCTCCTGTATAACAGGTAGGATTGAAATTTTATTAATTATCTTTCCATTAAACTTTTATTGCATAATATGCATGCACATGATTACTTTTATGTGGCAATTTTAAGAACTTCTGGCAAATTTTCTAGTTCTGTGCGATCATAATAAATGAATGAAATAATATATTTATGATTATACAGTCCATAAATTTAGGACGGGGACTTGCTACTAATATGACTTTCCTTGATTTCCCTTGGGTTGCCGCGGTTTCTTTGTTCACTACTGCCGTCCTTCTGGCACCCCTGCCAGTGTCCCCAGGGGAGGCCAGGGGCTTCGGGGGTGGAGTGTTGGATAACCTCTGGCCCAGATAAACGTTTTACGCATGCAGATTCCCACTGTAGAGTCTTTGCCTCCAACTAAGAGACCATTCTTAATATCAGAGCAGCATCTAGTGTTGACAGATCCTCAGTGGACAGAACCTTTCCACAGTCCAAGAAAATGTGGAAAAGATGTGGTGAAAAAAACTCCAGACAAAGGATAGCAAGTTCAAACCCAGTATGAATGCTTTGGAAAGAGGCCCGTAAAGAAGAGCTTCTCAGCCAGTTTCTTCTTTTGGATGAGAGGAATGTAGTCACACACTTACCACGTCTACTCAGTTGGCCAAGAGATCATCAGAAATGTGTTGAACACCTGGGAACCATACATTCTTCTGTGCCCCAAAATGCAGCGGTGAAAACTCTTTAGGCAAAGTTCCTGCTCTCATGGATCTGCTCTTCCAGTGGAGATGGCAGTTAATAAGAAAACAAGTCACTTTCCAGTAGTGACAGGTGCTGTGAAGAAAAATAAAGTAGGTAGGAGATTGAAGAGTACAGACAAGGAGGCATCATAGAGAAGGGTGGTCAGGAAAGTCTTCTTAAAAGAGGGGACTTTTGAGCAGAGACCTGAATGAAGTGAGGGAGTGAGCCATGAACACATTGCGGGGAGAGCATTCCAGGCAGAGAGAACAGCCAGTGCCAAAGCACCAGGGTGGGAGTGAGCAGCACGGGTGTCTTGAGAACAGCAAGAAGGCTAGTGTGGCTAAAAGCAGGGTGAGGGGTGGGGAGGGTCATAGGGAATGAATTTAGGGAGGTCAGCAGGCGTGGATCCTGAAGAGTCCGTGAGCCAAAGTAAGGATGAAGTGTGAAGAGAAGCCATTGGAATTTATGATATGATGTGATTTATGTGTTTTTTTTTTTTTAAAGATTTATTTATTTTTTTGAGAGAGAGAGAATGAGAGAGAGCACATGAGGGGGGAGGGCCAGAGGGAGAAGCAGACTCCCTGCCGAGCAGGGAGCCCGATGCGGGACTCGATCCAGGGACTCCAGGATCATGACCTGAGCCGAAGGCAGTCGCTTAACCAACTGAGCCACCCAGGCGTCCGTGATTTATGTTTTAAAGAACTCACTAGGGCTACTGTGTAAAACACACACTGTTTTGTGTTTTACAAGGGCAAGAGTAGAAGTGAGGAGACCAAACAAGAGACTAGTAATCCAGATGGTAGTAACAGAGATAATAAAATGTGGTCAGAGTGAGTGGTATTTTGAAACTGGAGCCAACAAGATTTGCTGATGGGTAGGATGTACGGCATGAGAGAAAAATGGAAATCTAAGATGAAGTCCGAGCAGTGGGGAAGGGATGCTTGAAGTGGGGAAGACAACGGCAGGGGCTAATTGGGTGGGGGAGATGGGGTGTTTTGTTTTGGATATGTTATGTTATATTGGACACACCACTGGAAATGCCAAGTAGACAATTGTGGGTACACATCTGGAACTCTGGGTAAAGGAGGGACTAGAGATACAAAATTCATGATCATCAGTCTATTCACAGTATTTAAAGCCATAAAACTAGATGAGATGAACAAGGGTGATCTTAGACAAATAGAAGAGGTAAAAAAGACTCATTCCTCAGACTCTCCAGCATTCAGATTCAAGCAAGAAAGAAGCAACTAGCAAAGGAGACAGGGCTGCCAGTGAGGTAGGAAGAAAGCCAGAAATCTGGTGTCACAGAGGCCAAGCCAAGAAAAAAGTGCTTTAAGAAGAAAACAATTATAGGGGCGCCTGGGTGGCTCAGTCGTTAAGCATCTGCCTTCGGCTCAGGTCATGATCCCAGGGTCCTGGGATGGAGCCCCGCCTCGGGCTTCCTGCTCAGTGGGAAGCCTGCTTCTCCCTCTCCCACTCTCCCTGCTTGTGTTCCCTCTCTCGCTGTCTCTCTCTCTCTGTCAAGTGAATAAACAAAATCTTTAAAAAAAATAAAAAGTAAAATAAAAATTAAAAAAAAAGAAAACAATTATAAACTGTGTCAAATACTGTCAAAAGCAAAGTAAGGTGAGAACCAAGATTAACCATGGGATTTGCTGACCTGCCAGTGGGACTGTTGACAACACTGATCTCAGTAGAGTCGTGAAAATGAATGTCTGATTGAAGTGGGCTCCAGAGAATATGGATAATGAGAATGTGGAGATACAGTGTTAAAACAGTTCTTTCAAGAAGGTTTACTACTAAGTGGTTCATCTGTGTGGATGTCGAAGGCACCAAGGACAGTGATGGAGCTCTCGGCACCAGAAGGTTACATGGGAACAAGAGGGGCTCCAAGTAAGGATTGGTCACGGGGAAAAGGGCTTTCAGAAAGAAGTTGCAATGCTTGAACTTTCAGGTAAGATGCACCCACTTTGAGGGACAAATGACAGAGTCTGGCATTGCTCTGTGTAGGGTAATGTCAAAATTCAAATTGGAAAAACGGCTTCAGTTGGCCAGTGGCAATGTCAGCGTGTGTTGCCAGGGGAAGGCAGCCAGGCTGTGTACCAGGAGGCTACAGAAGGTGGCATTCATTACCTTTGTGAATGTATTATGGTCCATAGGTCCAACTCCGTGAGAGTAGCTCCTCCTCTTAGTGGTGGACTCGCGTAATTCCCAAGCTCACAGGACCAGTGTAGAAACAAAGCCTCGTGGGGATTTATTTCCAGGGAAAAATCTGACCATCACATGGAATGGAATATTTGCACTGCTATGACAGGCTGTTCTCCCCTACTGGAAAACCTGCTTGGGAAGTCACATAGCAACAAGAATTCTAGTTTATTAATTGACAGTGAAAAATATTACCCATAGAATCCAGAGTGCTTAGTTGCTTGGTAAGCATGGAAGTAGAACAAAGGGACTTGGGTAAATCCAACAATTAAAGGCATCAGGGCTCAGATGAATCTGTTTCGGCCAGCAGGGATGGTCTTGCAAAGGTCTGTTGACTGCAACTTTTTGTATATATCTGCATAATAGGAAAGGTCTTGCCAGTGGAACGGGGAAGTCTTGGATTTATTTTGGCTAAACCATCCTCCTAGATGTGTTGGGATGTGCTTCCCTTGCCTCTGGACACTTCTTGATGCTTCCGTGGCTAAACAACCTCCCCAAGTTCCCATCCTTTCTCTGTATATATTCAAAGAGTAATCCTTGCATCTCTAGTTCTGTAGACCTTGAGAGTATACTTGCAGATATGTGTGCACGTGCATATTTATGTGCGTGCGTGTGTGTAATGGAAAGAGGAAGGGAGAGAGTAGGTGGCATGCCAGATACATAGACTTTACTACCTCACTACTAAGTCAGATAAATTGTCTTATCTATTAAACCTACTGGGTTTAAATGTTTGCAAACTATTTTGTTAATATTACATGCATGACGTACTGGCCCCAAAGTTCATTCTCTTTAGAATGATCGTATGTGTCTGTTTTGATTCATTATGTATCAGTTCTACTATTTTATGATAATATCTTATTTCCTTCATTTCCAACCTTCCCCTCTCCCTCCATTTATAATGTAAAATATGGAAAGAATCTAAATATGGCCAACAGTGAGTAAGGTGGAACTTGGGGTAGAAACTGTATAGATCCAAAGTCTGCAATCTTCAGTCTTTGGTCTGCACCAGAATTTTCAAAAGTACACATGTTCTACTTTCTGGAAATTCTATTCCAGAAAGTGTTAGGAAAACATCCAGGCTTCCTCCACACTAAGGGTTGAGAACCATTGCCTTAAATTCTCTCTCGGCTATAGGCTAGAATGGAAAATTTAAGGAGAAACAATAGACCTTTATGTGGTCAATTTTACTGATAGGTGCCTCATTGGAAAATCAGGGACTGGGACCAGAAAGGAGTAAAACGGGGTCCCTGAGCCACACACAGATCACTGTTAATTTACCACCACTTACTTTTTTTCTTTTTTTTTTTTTTAAGATTTTATTTATTTGACAGAGAGAGACACAGCGAGAGAGGGAACACAAGCAGAGGGAGTGGGAGAGGGAGAAGCAGGCTTCCCGCCTAGCAGGGAGCCCAGGGTGGGGCTCGATCCCAGGACCCTGGGATCATGACCTGAGCTGAAGGCAGACACTTAACGACTGAGCCACCCACGCACCCCAGTTTACCGCCACTTTTGATGGTAGTCGGCACAGCTCACTCGCAGTGGTGGGGGCAGGGAGCACTGCTCTGTTTTCATTCACAGACCCAGCCAGTCTTCAGCCCACCATTTATCCTTTTTGCTCTCTTGTCACTTATTCCAGCATTTCACAGCTATTATTTTGAGCTTGTGTGTGCAGAAGTTTACTAGGTATTTGGGGAACCACTTGGCAGTTTCCTCAGTTTTACACCAGGGAAAGAAAAGTGGGCAAAATGATGGCAGTAGTAAACACAGAAGAGAATGTCCTTGCTGAGTCCCTTCTCTCTCTTCTCTGCCCCTAATTAAAAAAAAAAAAAGATTTCTGACAAATAGCGTTGTAGGGTGACAGATGAGAGCCACACCTGTGGTGAGCACTGCCTGACGTCTAGCGATGTGGACTCCCTGTGTTGTACACCTGAAACTAGTGTAACGTCGTGTGTCAGCTGTACGCAAATACAAGGAGAGAAAGAACTTTCCAGGACACAAGCAGCATTTCGAGTTCCAATTACTTTAAAATCAAAGGCACCCGGAATGAAACAGGAAGAAAACCAGAGTTGAGACCACCACACGTTGTTTTTGAAGGTATCTCCACAGAGCCAGATAATGATTTTTATAGAATACTTAGCATCGACCCTGGCCTGAAGTACACTGTGGGAATCGGATGGCAACATGTCACAGCAATAAAATATCGTAACTGCCCATAACGGAGTGCAGAAATTCAGCTGCAGGACGGGGTTTACTAGAAGGTGGTGTAGAAACGGTTATTATTCCTACCTGTTGTGTTCGGAAGAGCTGGATTTTTGTCGAGTTACCTGTTCTGTGGGAATCTTTCTCCCAATGAGAAGATGCTTTCACGTCCATGTTTTCTGCTGCGCCATTGAGCATTGTTTTTTTACTGGTGGCTTGTCCTCCTCCTTCTAAGTACCACCAGAACTTTTGACTTTACGTATGTATTGTAAGAGCCATGTTAACCATTTGAGGACCCTAGATGTCACTTTAAAGAAGTTTAAAGCATTTCCTTTCCATTTATTTATTTAAGTCATCTCTACACCCAGCCTGGGGCTCGAACTCACGACCCCGACACCAAGAGTCACACACTCTACTGACTGAGCCAGCCCCAAGAATTTTTTACAGGTTGGATAGTTTGGGCGCATCTTCTCCGTCTGTGGTATGCTATCTGCTGCTACACTTTCTCAGCATAGTTTTCTGGAAGTTAGACCTTGTGAGTTCAGGGTGCCGTCCCCGTGGGACTCCCAGAGCACAGTCTAACGGAACAGCTTCCCGTCACTGTATTTGAATGTAATGCTCACATTGCTCTTCCTGTGCCTCTCAGTTCCAATCCTGTGCTGAAGAATATGTGGCCCGAAGGCAAACTGAGTATTTCGGAGGTGACCAAGCGACCTCTGACCGCTGCCACCTTGTTTAAGAATTCGATGATTGCTTTAGTGGACAACCTTGCATCAAAGGTAACTTTTCTTCTCCGCATATCCATTTTATGGCCACTTTCGATGGTCGTTGGCTCCGCTTGCTGCCATAGGTTCCTTCTTGATATATGTTGTAGAAAATGTATGTGTGATTTGCTTTTTAGGTAATTATAATAAATCAAACTGAAACATCTATTTAAAGTGAATGTTATACTAGAATTTTTGTTCGTTTTGTTTTTTTTAACATGGCTGGGTGAAATAATGTTTGTGTCCAGGATGAAATGCTTTTTGTTAAGGTTGAGTTTTTTATGGTTGTCGACAAGAGGAAAATCTTAGAACTTTAAAAAAAAAAAAAAAAAGACATTCTGTACTTAAGTCTGAGTAATCCTTTTTTTTTTGAGAATTGTGCAAAAAAAAAATATATATATATATATATACACACACACACACACACACACACACACACAACTATAAAGGAGAGCACATGCCTGACAGAAACAGTTTCAGCCCTGTACCAAAGAAAGGGCGTGGCTTTAAAAAAATCCTGAATTAAATAGTAATATGCCATCCATATATCATGTCTGGGTACAAAATGACCAGATAGAGTATCAAGAGGAAGTTTAGTATTTAAGTATTGTCCTTAGGCTGTTGTAAACAGCTAAAATAAAATGTTATATTATTGACAGTTGTTTCTACTGTTGATCGCTCCTTTCAGGTGTAATACTGTTTGGTGACTTTTCTGTTTCTTTTCCTCCCCCCATCTCTCGCCAAAGAACAGATTTCTACTCTTAACTGCTGCTGTTGACAAGTTGGATAAATTAGGTGGCATTCTGGGACTCATTATTTTTAGTTCCTTCATTTTTCTCTCTCTTCTGGTGCTTTTCCTCTGTATTTTATTCTTGTTATCTTTTTTTTTTTTTAAACCAACTTCCTCTCTAAGAATTTAAATCTGTACTGTTTCTGGTTACTTCACTATGGATAAATTAGGCAAAGGCATAAGAACACATCTGTTCGGTAGCTTTCTATTTCTTTTTGTCACGATTCTTTGGCCTCATGTGACAACAAATAAGCAGTTTGTTGGCTTGTAGAATCAAACTTCCAGAAAGGCAGGGGTGAGGACACCAGAACCGAAGACCAGAACACCATTAGAAGCCTTCCTCTTGTCTCTTAGCTTCTCTCTGCCTCATCCTGTAAGAGGGAAGGTGAACCTAGAAGGAGGGCATGTGACACAAGAAACAGAATTGAACACAGAATTTTATAAAACATGTTTATAGAATATATTATAAATAGTTTACAAAATATATTAGATTTATTTCATTAACTAGAAAAGAGCCACCTTTATTTTCTAAAATTGGTAGTTAAATGTGCATTTTTAGAAAATAAAAATTCTACAGCCATCTATAATTTCTGTATCAGGAATTGTATGCAGCTGCTATTAAAGAGAGAGCCCCACATGAGTGGCTTAAACAAGAGACATTTATTTCTCTCTCCTGCAGATAAGGTCCAGAAGTAGGCATCCCAGGACTGGTATAGCAGCCTTAAGGTTGTTAGGGACCCGGGTTCCTTCTGTCTTTTTCTTCTACCATGCGTGTGCTTGGCATCCATCCTCCTGGTCCAAGATGGCAGCAGGGCCTTCTTCCCTTTCAAAGGGACTTCCTGGGAGTCTCATGCAGCATGTCCGCTACATCTCATTTGCTATCCCTAGTTGCCAGGGAAGCTGGGAAGTGCATTTTTATTCTGGTCAGCAGTGTACCTAGAAATAAGTATTCCATTTAAAAAAAAGGTGCTGGATATAAGGCAGGCAACTAGCCCGGCAGCTTCTGCTGCGGCTTCCCAATTTGTGGAGGAGGGAGAGTGAGGGAGAGAACAACCTCTCAGCCCCAGAAAAGGCAGGAAGGTGGGTGGGGAAGCAACAAAGGAGAATGTTACTTTTAGAAAATACAAAATAATATGATAGAAATAAATCTAAATAATTGGTACTCACCATAAATATAAATAGAGTAAGAAGACTAGTTAGAAAGTCTAGCTATATGCTTCATCCAGGAGATACCTAAATACCACTGTGCAGAAAGACAAAAACCAAAGAGGTGCACAAAAATATTTCAAGCCCTTCCCCCCAAAAATGATTAAAAGCAATATTAATGTGAGAGAACATAGAATTTAAGGGAAAAAGTATTAATACAGATAAAGAGACTCCTAATAATCGAATGAAAATACCCAAGACAATAAAGCCACTTTGAACTATATACCACATAGCTGTGATTATCCACGAACTCCATAAAGCAAAAAAAAAAAAAAAAAAGGTGAAAAAAATTTTAAGGAAAAATTGACAAGTCCACAATCCTTCTGGGAGATTTTAAACCAACTGTACCAGAAACTGGTATTTCAAGCAGACAGAATCCTTAGTAAGAATACAGGCACGTTGAAAACCAAATTTAAACTTTAATAAATCAAGAGAACCCTGCACCCAGGGTGGAGCAAGATGGTGGAGGAGCAGGAGACCTGGATTTCATCTGGTCTCAGGAATTCAGCTGGATAGGGATCAAACCATTCTGAACACCTACAAACTC